ATATAAATATATAAATGCATGTATGAATGGATGAACGAGGTAGTGGGATGTTTAAGGGGTCTGGTTGCTGGTCATGGTGTTTCAGTGAGTGCGGAGCGCCAGAGAGGAAGCAGAGAGAAACTCGCCACTAAATCACAATAAATCTATGTCAGAAAAATTTAAAAGAAATGCACTTATGACGAACTGACGAACCTTAAACGAGTGTCTCATCAATTTTTGGCCTATTTGCTGGCTAATTCGGAAAAAGGGTCATTTGGAGATTTTGAATTTTGAGATGAAAATTGAACTATAGATTTAAGGTGATCTGAAGGCCTCAGGCCGCAAATAACATTTATCCAGGTTGAAATTTGAATTTTGAGATGAAAATTGAACTATAGATTTAAGGTGATCTGAAGGCCTCAGGCCGCAAATAACATTTATCCAGGTTGAAATTTGAATTTTGAGATGAAAATTGAACTATAGATTTAAGGTGATCTGAAGGCCTCAGGCCGCAAATAACATTTATCCAGGTTGAAAAAATCTCAATCTTAATAATTACTATATAAAAAGACTACAACAACCATCGTCACCATCGTCATCAACTTTGCAATCGTCATCATCATCATCATCTTCGCCATTACAATTCTCGCCACTGCTGCCATCACAATCATCACCACCATCATCACAATCATCATCACAGCCATTGCAACCACCATCACCACAATCATCATCATAACCAGCAGAGCGACACGCGTCAGTCGGCACAGACACCTGTGACATATGTTCGCCATTGTTCAGTTGCTCGTGTGGCCAGGTAGATAGGCAAGGAGAGAGGCACTGGTTTGTCTAATCATTATTTTATTTTATATATAAGCAAAACACATATACATTATTCTCTCTTTCTCTCTCTCTCTCTTTCTCTTTGCAAAATGTTATATATAAAATTGTATATTGTACTTTGTATATTTCTTGTATATTTCTCTACACATACACATACACCACTCACAGAGAGAGAGAGAGAGAGAGAGAGAGAGAGAGAGAGAAAGAAAGAGAAAGAAAAAGAGAGAGAGAGAAATAGAAAGAGAGAAAGAGAGAAAAAAAGATACAGATACTGTAAACTTTGTATGTCTGTGTACGTGAATACGTTTGTATGGGCGTGTATATGTATGTGTGCGTGTATGTTTGTGTATGTGTGTATGTGTGTGTGTATATATATATGTATGCGTGTGTGTGTGCAAATTAGAGAAAGTTAGTGTAGCAGTAGAAAATAATAGTATTCATGTTTTTTAAATCGCCGTTATTCAATATAATGCAACATACAGACCCTGTTTGTCTGTGTGACATTTGCATATACACGCACACACACACACGACACGACACGACACACACACGAGACACACATACACACTTTTATTCGTTTTCATTATTGTGAACGTATTACGCCGTTTTTTCATTCATTCATTAATTCATTCGTTCGTTCATTCATTCATTCAATCAATCAATCATTCATTCATTCATTCATTCATTCATTCATTCATTCAGCTATCATCGTAGACAGACAGACAGACACCCGCAGTTTTGTTAAAAATTATTTTCACATATATTTATACAGGAGAAACACACGCACGCACGCATTCAATAACCTTGCTTCATGTAATTAAAATATTAACTAAATAGACAATAATTCAAAGTACATTAAAAAATTAACAACACTTACAAGATCTATCCGGTGGCATATCGTGCCGTCTCGATTTATTTCGGAAAAAGTTACGGTACGCATCGTCTTGTTTCGAAGTCATAATAACGATCCGCATGGCCATTTGACACTTTGGCAGTTTGCACGCGACTCAGAAAAAAACCATTGTTCATAATAAAAAAGAACAACACAATATCTGAAAATGATTTGAAGTAGGATTTTAACTAAAAAACCGTCTCGATTTATTTCTGAATCATTTCATATATTTCTGAATCATTTATTTTGGTTTCGAAATCATAATGACGGTCCGCATGGCCACTAGACACTTTGGCAGTTTGCATGCGACAAAAAATACATGAACTCTACGAAAAAACCATTGTTCATATTAATAACACAATATCTGAAAACAACACAATATCTGAAAATGATTTAAAATCAAGTAGGATTTTAACTAAAAAATGATGTCAAACACACATTTATCTATATATATATTGAAAAGAAACGCTGATGGAGAAGAGCCTGATGTGGAAAAAAGATGGGAGAAGTAAGAAAAAGAAAAGAAGAAGAAAAGAAGAAGACTGTCAAATAAAAAAATGATTAAATTAACTTAAAAAATTACTACAATTTAAGTTTACGATTTTCAGGTAAACAATAAAAAATGTTTTTTTGGGGACCTATAGATTGTTCCAGGTTAATGGAACGTACTAACGATGAAATTTTAAAGTGTCATAAGGTGAGATGAATAACAACGAGTCACACTCAAGTCATGTGCGTGTGTGTGTGTGTGTGTGTGTGTGTGTGTGGATTAGGGATTATTTATTGTACTATGATTATATGCTATTATTATATAATATTTCTTCTTTATAGCAACACACAGGCACCCGGAAACAGCTACAAACAGTTATACACAATTCAAATGAAACAGATGTTTAATGGATGTGTATTCGTATGTGTACGTGTATATACATTTGTGTGTGTGTTTGTGTGTATGGGGTTGTTCGTGTGTGTGTTTGCATGTTCATTCATTCATTCATATTCGACACTCTATACAGAAAAACAACTCAAAAAGTTATTGGGTATAACTTAAATGAGATGCAGAACAATCGAACTAGTCAAGCTAAGTAGGCACAGGCAGATGGCGTTAACCAGGGATGTGTGTGTGTGTGAGTGTGTGTTTAAGTATGTGTGTGCGTGTGTTGTTAAATGTGTCTATATGTGTTTGTACGTGATTGTATATGTGTGTTTGTTTAATAAAATGATTCTGTGCGTGTATTGAATGTGCAAGTATAAGTGTGTGTGTGTCTTTTTGAATATGTTTGTATGTTCGTTTATATGTATGTTTATATATGTGTACATATATGTTTGTGTGTGGACTGGTATTTTTGTTTGTAAATATGTATTTAGGGTTGTGTGTGTGTGTCAGTGAATGTATGTTATCATGTTTGCATGTCATTAAATTTTTCATTAAACAGTGTTGCATAATAATTAATTCACTCACGCAATCAAATACGTTTCATGAAATGCATTAATGTCAAGTAATGTCATTTCATCGATTCTGTTTCTTCAGTTCTGTATAACAGTATTGTGATATGAATTGTAGTATGGTGCGTGTTTGTAAGTATGTGTGAGCGTGAGTTTATGTGTATGTATTTCATGACATTTCTGTTACATCTATAGTTAGAAATTTTAGTTAAGGGTGGCCTATCCACAAGTTTATCTTTTTTGGTCATCCTTCAAATCAAATAAATAAATAAATAAATATATATATATATATATATATATATATATATATATATTTATATATATATATATATATATATATATTAGGGTGTCCCGTCGATGTATGAAAAAAAAAAAATTTTTTTAAGACACATTATAACAAGAGGTATCAAAA